TAAATGTTTAATATTTTTCGTACAGTACAATATAAATGTATATATTATATTATTTGTAAAAAAAAGACAAAATTAAAAAAATCACGAATATAAAATTATATCGACGATCCACAGTCARTGTGCGTGAAGCATCGAAAACAACGACGGTCTGTCAGAGCGGCTAGGAATCGGTTCTGCCGTTTGCAGTTCAGTCGTAGCCGCGCGGCTGGTTAGCCAATCACAGTGGTYCATTACCCACGCCGCCAACAATGCTGCCAACTTAGGGTGTGGTCGACGCACGATTGCCCATTGTATAAATATCTCTAGCACAGACCTACACTGGTTCTCGTCGCGTAGTAATTCACTAGTTCTTATCAATTATCACTTATCACTACTTGCTGTTTTGACGATTATCGATAACATTAAGATTAGTTATCTACGCTATCGCACTGAAAGGCGAAAGGCCTAAAGTCTGGAACTAAGGAATTTAAATTGTAAATCCAAATAATCCAATTTTAAACTATGTCGTGAGCCTTGAGATAATAAACTAAGCCTTAACTCTTAAGGCGCTGTCCTCTTATTAAGAAATAAATTATAAAGAAAATAGAGTATAGATAATATTAACATCTTCAGAGTRCACATGTAAGTACCTATCAAAATTGTCACAATTGTATTTACTTAATTCTACGTTTGTTYTATCTGTCCAAATTCAAATCCTATCTCTGATGATTAGTTTTTCCTCTTCCTTAATCTATATATAACTAATAAATTTAATACTCAAATACTTTCTGTCTACAATGATTAAATTTGAATTTGCTGTGTAAATTGGAAGGATTTATTATATTTTAATCGTTTTTAATGTGTTTAGAATACCTTATAGATTAGATTCCTATTATACTTTTACGTTTATTATACACAAAATGAATGTATTAATTTGTATATAGTATAAAGTTGTCAATTTAAAAAGTATTCCATCCAAAATAAACTATTGTTAATTAAGAGAAAATTACCCTGACATTTGTTGTCTCTACCTTACGAATGCATACCATAACAAATTTTACACTCATCTCATCACGTTTAGCTCGTTAGTTAAACAACTTGAAATGCATTGACCTCTTGAAAAATTTAAATATAGGATTATTGTCTTGTCAATATCTAAGGCTTTTTATTTTATTTTAATAAAAGTGAGTTCTTAGTTTTTTAAGATATACAAACAATTTACARTTTTAAAATACTCATTACATTACCTTTATTAAAATTAAAATATTTAAAAGTATATGGGATTTTCTAAATAATAAMCTTACTTTTAAATTATATAAGGGTTAAATTCACTAATTTTTAAACAAATAAAGCTAAACGTGATCTGTCAAAAATATTTTGTTACTCACTTATTAGACAGTCATAAAAATATTGGTGTAACTTCCTCTAACACATATCAACAATAAATATGATATATTATAATATRTGGGTACCCAAGTTAGGTTTGTAATTATTATTGTACAATTAATTATATCCATTTTTAATTAAAATTTTTTTTAGATATGCTATGTGATGTCTGGTCTAAATCATGTACAAAGAGTTCGTTTATTGTATAAAACTATTTTAAGGCTACACCGAGGCTTACCAACTGAATTACAAGAACTAGGTCAAGCATATGTACGTGATGAATTTCGTAGGCATAAAAACTGTAATCCTAAAGAAGCTCAAATATTCATGCTGGAATGGAGTGTATGTATAAATAAATATTTATTAATTAAATTGGTTTTTCGATAACATTAAGATAATTGGCTTAATCATTTTCAATTTAGAAATACACATTGACACTATCRGAGCAGCTGTTAAAGAACGCAAAATCAAATATTGGTTTTGGTAAAAACATTGATAAACATGATGTTGCATTAGACTCTTTCACAGATGATCAAATTGTACAACTTTATAATTTATTCAAGGAAACAACTGGAATCCAGGACAAAACTATTGAATCTGAGCTTTCAAAATAATTCAATTAGATTATGTATATTATACTTAATTCTTAAATATATTAATATTTATGTTACAACTTTGTAACTTAGCTAGTTGGTTTTAAATATAATATTTGTTACTGCATGTAATTTTATAACGTGTTGAATAATTCAAATAATTAAATAATATACATCATATTTTTAACATGCATAAACTAATTTTGCTTACTTCATTAAAAAAAAATGTATACATATAACATTCTAAATTTTAATAGAAATGGTTTTCTTTTAATAAAATATATATTCTWATAAACAAAAGGTAGCTTTTACAATTAATATTGACTATTAATTAACAAAAAATGATTTTGTTAGCTTTTCATTTGTTAGATTGATTACTAGAATAAAACTTTTTGATGGGTTATTGAGAATCTTTTTATTACATGCTCAGTCGCTCACACATATTGCAAAGATAATTAAATAGATTATCAAGAACAATTAATGATATTTTCAAAATATTTTTTACAATCAATAATTATAATGTCTTACAAATTTTTTATTTTTATAATACATTAATAAACATTGATAGCACTAGTAAAATATTCAATCAATGGCATTAAAATTTTCATGATTCATAGACTAATCTAGATAGTGTTTTATTTGATTAGATGACGAAGTCTAATTATTTTTTAACCATTTAAAATTTATTTTATGGCCACTTAATGATTTATAGTGCAATAAAAAAAAAATGAAAGACATGCTCATTTCAATAAATACTTAAATTTAGTTGAAAAATCTTATATTTTCTTAAATGTATGTTGAATAACTTTTGCAAAACTATGAAACTATCCAAATAAATATGATTTTTATATATTTATATTTTATATAATCATTGAAAACTGATTTAAACTGTATTAAATTGAATATTAAAATATTTCATAAGTCAATGACAACRATATTAGGAGGTACCATTGATATCAAACATGGAAACATCATTCTAACCAATAATAATAGAATTATTCTCGTTCACATAAGCTTCTGAAAAATAAGGAAACTAACACTTAAGTGAAAGTAAAAATAAATTATGATAAGTGAGGTTGCAGTAGTATCAACTATGTTTGCAAACAAGCTAAYAGGATTTATACAATGCCCATCTATAAGTTTAATATTACTAATCATTTTACGTCGGTTAAAATCAGAATCCAGAATCATTTTAACCGACGTGTATTACGATATACCTAATTCTATTTTAAAACGAATGGACAATTTCAAACTTTGTCTGATAATACTGAGTAATAAAAATATCAATATGATAAACCTGTGACCCAATATTATAGGAAATATAAATTATATGTGTGTATTTGGTCCACATTATGAGCTGATTTTTTTTTTAAACAAGGATTACTGTTTTAATTTTGGATAATTATATTCACCTATGATGTTCAAAATTTCTTTATTCTTTTATGATGTTTCAAGTTATTCACACTGTTTTAACCTAGTCCTAGTTACATAATAAGTGTTTAACAATTTAAGAAATAAATATATTACAATATTCTCATAAATATAGAAATATCTACAGCGGTTTAATTTATTTGTCGTGTCTAGCAATTCGGCAATATGTATTCTGCAATATTTTGTTAAAGTAAATCAAATTTATATCTCAATAGAACAAAATTATAWATCTCAAAAGTAAATAGTTGAACAAAGATTTTTGATAAAAAACATTTTTAAACCTGTGATAACACTATAACAGTAGGTACACCTACTAATTAATAGTTTCATATTTTTTGAATGTATTTTGTTTTTATCCTTATTCAGWTTAGAAATGATATTTAAGTAAAACATCAAACCATTATTTCTGCTTCTTATTGTTTAAGTATTTATTCTTAAAACTTAAGTAAAATCATTACAAACTCGAGAGAATAATATTTTTGAATAAATGGCATGTCGGTTTGTCTAAATATTCAATATTGTCTCAAAAAAATTTCAACGTAATTAATTTTTATATTTTTTCTAAGTGGAATACTAAGATAAATAATAAAATATAAAACCAAATATCATACCAGTCAGTCTTAAATCGTTCATCCGATTAAAAATAATATTTCACCTTGATGTTTTTTTTTTCAAAACCTGTTTCTTATACAACATAAATATATAATGGTGAAAATAGATTCTCCTATTGTATCATCACTTATTGGATTAATCAACCAGTTGTTTATTGCTTAAAATGTTGTTTTATCTGATCAAACTGTTCTGACCTAACTTTTTTATAAATGAGCTATTATAATATGGAAAATTTGCGAGCAAAACTGGAGTTAAAACTAATTCAATGCTAATATATAGAATATGGTCAGTGGCATACCCAGAATTTTTCAATGAATGGGATGGCTCATTTGTTTAACTAAATCTGGCCTAAATTGGTCCATTTATTAGATAGGCAAGTAGGTAACTATATTGTTTTTTAAAAACATATGCTTAWACACAGTATCTACCTATAGTCTTTAATTAATATACAAATAATAATGTGTAATAAAATAATCTACTTTCTATTTCTAACTTAAAATTGCTTAAACATGATTAAGATTATAATTATTAATTATTATTATCTTTACTTTTTTAAATAAGTTATACCTTATAAACATTACTCCAACTTAATAGCAATTCAGAGAATAATTTTGGTGGGGCTAAATCTACTAAATAATTTTAGTATCTATATAGGATTTAGTCTTGTCACTTCAATATTATTATTATTTTGGTGAGTGTTAACAATCTTTAGAGAGCGACCCTAAACCCTACCTACCAAAAGATGCGGTTTTTTTTATAGTTAGTGCCATTAGTGAATATCTGAATTTTGTTGGTCTCATAGGTAAAAATAGTTCATTATTGCACTGGCTCTTCTATAGTGCACTCTGAATAACAATGACGTTGGATAAATCCTTAGAAAGATCTTGTTGTTTGCTCTGTAAAGAAATATGGAGTTTGGGTAAAGTAAATTATTGCAACTTTAATTTCAACGAGAAAATCACTTTTAGAATTGAATTCAAATAAAATGCAGTTTATGTATACCATTAATGATAGTGGATGT